CCCCCCCCCCCCCCCCCCTCCACTCTAACAGGCACACTGTTGATTGACAGACTGCTGCTTGCCTGCAACTGACTTGTAGTAAGGAAGAAGTGACTGGCTGGCTGTCCTTCGCTCCCTCGCTCGCTCGCTCGTCTGCACGTTCTTCTCCCTCGGCTGGCCAGCCAGACAGCTGCCTCACCACACGAGGCCGATGTCTGGTTGTTTGCTTGAGGAGGAGGACCGTGCAGACAGACAGGACGAAGCGGAACTTGTTGGTGGCCACTACTTGCTTGTGTGCTCGTATCTATCGGTGATATTGACCCATGGAGGAGCACCGCACCGCAGCCCACACTCTCTGGGTCTCTCCACTTGAGTCTATCCACCAATCTATAGCAGACCTGCCTGTCTGTCTGTCTGTCTGGGCGCCCTGGTTGGACGTATGGATGGATGGATGGATGTGTGGACGGTACGATACGAAGGAGTTAACCAACTTTTTTGACACACTGACGCCTTTCCCACTCATACATACCACACCACCCATCCCATTGCCTGCCTGCCTGCCTGCCTTCTGTGTCTATCTAGCTGAAGTGACTATAGCCTACCTGCCTGCCTCCCTCGGATTGTTTGGATAAGCAAGTACTGTGTATACCTCTAATCTCGCTGACCGACATTGACGGACGGATGATGGCCCCTCCCTCCCTCTCTCTCTGCTGGTGGTCCTGACTCTTGTCTTGCTGGCCCTGTGTGATTTTCTTCCTGGCCCTGTGTGTGAGTAAATGGATGGATGCCATGCATGGATGCATGGATGTCTGTGAGTGAGGTGAGTGAGTATTGCTGCTGCGCTGCAGTGTCGACGGCATGCACACGACACAGACACAGACTCAGGCAGACGCACCACCGATTGCACGCCCCCTTTCTGCTTGCGTCAGGTTTTGTCCGTCAATGTGTGTATGTGTGTGTGGGCGATGGATGACTGGCTGGCTGGCTGGCTGGCTGGGAGGGAGGGAGGGAGGGGCCTGCCCATTCAGTGAGTCGTTGCGGGACCTCTCCCGGCCCAGCAGCTGGAACGCATGAATGAATGGACCACAATGATCTGCCTGCCTGTCTGTCTGTCTGCGTGTCGTATGTGTGTCAGTCTGTCTGGCTGGCTTCTCTATCCACTGGGGCAGAGAAACGGAGGGGAAGTTTCAGTTCCCCCCCCACAACAATGACTGACTGGTTCATATCATCATATTATATATGGATCATGACTGAAACCAAACCGGACGGGAGGACTCGTGGGTGTGGTGTGTTACCTACCTACCGTGTTGAGAGAGGGAGTCTCATGCACTCGACTGACTCGCAGGCCTTTGAGGCTTCGATTCATGTGGAGTGGATGGGCGGATAGATGCAACGAATGAATGGTCGGTCTGTCTATCATCAAGGCAACAGCCGATTCACATCTCACACATCACACATCAACACAAGCCTGCTACACACACTCTACACACAGCTCTACCACCCACCCACCCACGGTCAGCCGGTCGCAGTCCTATGTCGGTCAGCACCCTCCTCAGTTCTCCGCACTCTCATTATCTCTGTGAACACGGTAATCCGAGAAGTTCGCCAGATGAACAGAGGAGCGCCACACGTGCGGACCCGGTTCGAATCAACCCGACCACCAATCAGTAACCATCCAGGCACTCAGCCAGTCAGTGAGTCGAGTCAGAAGCGCCCCTCTCTCATCCTTTCCAGCAGCGAGGACGAGTAGCCTCTATCGTCACGCACATCACGCTCCTCCCTCTCGTCATCTCCCCCCTGGCTGCTGCTGCTGATGGTGCTGGCCACCAGGGGGTCTTCTTCCAGTTGCGTCTGCAGGACGCCATGCCTGGCCAGCCGCCACTCGACCGCATCGGCAGACAGCCGGGCCATCATCTGCCGCCCGCCCCACTCGGGCTCGCCCACCAGCTGCTTCTGGCACATACCATCCTTGTACAGCAACACCGTCGGCAGCTGGTGGTCGGGGTAGCCTGGGAGGACGTCCACAGAGATGCCCTTGCAGAACTTGACCGCCTGGTGCCGCGCGGCGAGCTCCGCCAGGCAGCGGTTGAGCACCCGACACATCTCAGAGCTGTCGCGGTAGAGGTGCACCACCACATGTCGGCCTCCCCTGCTGGCCTCGGTCACCTCGTCGACGAAATCCGCCTTGCCGATGTGCTGGATCTCCGAATACGCGGCCTCCTCCTTCTTGGCCCGCAGCTCCGCCAGCCGCCGTGCGCGGTATCTTCGCAGCACGTCCTCGTCCAGATCATCCTCTAGCTGGTCGAGGTCGTCGAGCTGCTTGTGCTCCAGGGGGTCGCTGCGCTCTGCGAGGTCCACAGCCAGCCCCGTGAGCTGATCTTGGGTCGGTTCCTTCTCCAGCGCCGAGAAGTTGCCGAACCTGCGCTGCACATCATCCCATTCTGTCGTCACGGGCCGATTCGTCGTGCTCATTCTGCGTGCGAGCTGATCTCGCGATAGCCGTTTTTGTAAACAGTCCTGTACGCTGTGCAGCAGGGTGTCTGCGGTTGGGAGGTCTCTTCCACTCACTCTTTCTGTCGAAATCACCCATGCAGAGGCTTCAGGTAGTGCTCGTGCTTGCGTCGCTGTGCTGTCTGGGCGCCTACACGCCGGTGCCATGTGTGGAGGAGGGCGTGGACTACGCTCCCAATGACGCCGATGCTGACATCCGTGTGGAGACGCCCATCTCCTCGCCCGAGGCCTGCCAGAGGGCATGCGAGAAGGAAACCCAGTGCTTCTTCTTCACCTATGACACCCAGCGAAAGGCATGCTTCCTCAAGCGCCTCCAGGAGCCGCGCGTTGAGGCTGCCGGCCTCGTCTCGGGCACCAAGGCCTGCGTCAAGACCCACACCGCCGCAGTGCAGGAGGCCGACCTGCCCACGGGTGTCAAGCACAGGGGCGCGCTCTCAGGTGCGCTGGCGAGGCTGGCAGAGGCGGTGGCCTTTGAGGAGGAGGGAGCGGTGCGGCCGGAGGGCAGCAAGCCGTACCCCTTCTGGGGCAAGGGCCACGTGAGCCGGGAGGACAGGCTGTCTTTGGAGCAGCGGCTGATGGCCACCCGCGGCCCCCACCACGTCAGGGACAGGCACGTCCTGGTGGAGGTGGTGCCCTCGGCCCCACCATCTGAGGGCGAGGAGGGCGGCGGACAGATGGAGGAGCTCAAACAGGTGTTGTTGGACAAGGGGCTCAAGAATGCCACCGTCGCGCGCAGGCTGCTCACCGGGTGGCTGCCTCTCGAAGCCCTCAAGGAGGTCGACTCACTCAAAACGGTCAATTCGGTCCGCCCGGCGCTCTACCGCACCAACAGAGGCCTCGTCAGCGCCCAGGGGCGCAAGTCGATGCGGGCCGATATGCTGACCAAGCGGCTGAATGTCACGGGCAAGAATGTCAAGGTCGGTGTGGTGTCCGACACGTACGACAACTTCTGCTGCGGCGAGCATCTCACCAACGCGCAGCAGGACATTGAGAACGACGATCTGCCGGCTGACGTGGACATTCTGATGGAGGGGGGGTATTCTCTTGCTGGCGGGAGCGACGAGGGCCGTGCGATGCTGCAGCTCATCTACGATATCGCCTCCGACGCCAAGCTGGGCTTCCACACGGCCGACGGAGGCACCGCTGTGTTTGCACAGGGCATCAGAGGTCGGTGAGAAAGAGATAGACGGACGAGGAGTGTCCCAAAACAAGCAGGGCTCACCTGTCCTGTGGTGGTGCTTCTCTTGTTTTGTCTTTTCTTCCAGCGCTTGCCGAGTGGGGAGCCGACGTCATTGTCGATGTAAGTAACCAACGAACGCATCACCAACACAAAATGCCTCCACCCACCCACCCACGCCCTTGCATCATTCTGACCGCTCCCGTCTTGTGTGTGTGTGTGTGTGTCAGGACATAGTCTATTTCACCGAGTCGTTCTTCCAGGACGGCGAGGTGGCGCAGGCGGCGACAGAAGTGTACAAGCAGGGCGTGGCCTACTTCTCGGCTGCCGGCAACATGGCCGACGAGTCGTACGAGAGCGTCTTCAGGGACAGCGGCGAGGAGGGCCAGCTCGGAGTCCTCCACGACTTCGATCCAAGCGACGGCGTCACCGTTTATCAGCCCATCAAAGTGCCGGTGCGTGAGTGAGTGAGTGAGGCAATGCATGAGCGGGACGACCTGCATCGCATCTTTCGCTGTGTATGCTATGCGTGTGCGTGTGGTTGGTGCACTCGCTGCGCGTAGGTCGGTGAGTCGTGGATGGCGATTCTCAACTGGGACCAGGCGTGGTTCTCCGTCAGCGGGGGTGAGGGCAGTGCGAGCGATCTCGACATGATTGTCTACGACGCCAAGAAGACGCCTGTCTACTACCTGCTCGCAGGAGGTGCATTGCCCTGCAAACCAAACACGCCCACCTCACGCATTGCGGATGTTCCATGAATGTGTCCGTCTGTCTGTCTGTCTGTCTGTGGGCGGGGTGTGTTGTGTGCGCCAGGCGGCGATCCCAACATCGGTAGAGACGCATTGGAGGTCACTGCTTTCTTCAATGACGTAGGAAGCACCAACTGCAGGCACCGCACCCACACACCCACGCCATTCACCTTTAATGTGTGTGTGCGTATGTGGATGCGTGTGTGTGTGTCGTGTGTTAGGGTACGATTGACGTGGACGGCAAGCCCGGTCCCGACACAGACTTCTTTCTGGCCATCGAGCTGCACCAGGGGCCGGCCCCCGGGCTGATGAAGTACATCATGATGGAGGGCGAGGCGCCCAAGGAGCACTTCACCTTCTCGTCCACCATATTCGGACACTGCAACGCAGAAGGAGCCATCGCTGTGGGCGCGGCCGAATACAGCCAGGTGGGCTGCGGTGCGGTGCGGTGCGGTGGGGAGGTGGGATGCCTCGACGTGTCTTGGTTTGGTTTGTTGTGGTGTGTGTGTGTGCAGACGTCGCCATTCAATGTCACCCCAGCAGTGATTGAGCCTCACTCGTCCGTCGGGCCCACCAACATCCTTTTCTCGCCTAATGGCGATCGGATCCTCGATAAGCGGATGAAGCCTGAGGTAACATTTGCTGCTGCCTGCCTACCTGGGTGTGTGGTGTGATGGGACGTGGTGTGGTGTGGTCTCTCAGCTTGTTGGTCCCGACGGTGTCGACACGACTTTCTTCATCCCAGACAGAGACGAGGACAACACGGGATTCCCCAACTTCTACGGTAATCAATTAATCAACTCACACGGCCACACACACATACACACACACCTACACCCATGTGTGTGTTTGACGTGACGCTGCAGGCACGTCAGCGGCGGCTCCCCAGGTGGCGGCTGTGGCGGCCCTGCTGCTGGAATTGGAGCCTGGCCTGACGGTGGATGAGCTGTACGCCGCCCTCACGGAGAGCGCCCAGGACATGGACAACACCGCCACCGCCAAATTCGATGTCGGCTTTGACACACGAACAGGTACACAATCCGATCCATCCATTCTCAGCCGACAGACACCCCATGTGTGTGTGTGTGTGTGTGTGTGTGTGCAGGCCATGGCTTCATCGATGCGGAGAAGGCTGCCGACCTGGCCAAGCAGCTGATGTCGGAACGTCGTGGGGATGGCGGCTACGATGCCGTGAGCATGCAGGCAGGTGCAGGTGCAGAGGTGGCCACGCCCCCTCCTGGAGCGGCAGCCGATGTGGCAGCGGGCGATGCGTCTGGTGAGGAGCCGTCGGAGGAGCTGCTGAATGAGGTGCTGGAGGAGAAGAAGAGAGTCGACGAAAGCGTCAACAGAGAGAACAAACAGGACGACCAGAAGAGGCGGCGGCTGATGAAGAAGGCGGGCAGCCACATATAGGTGTAGGTGTGGGTTTGGGCGGGGGGGGGGGGGGGGGG